TTGTAAATAAGAAAAACTAGAAACATCCCTAATGCCAAAAGATCAACCCCTAGCGAGTAAAACAAGAGATAAATTAAAGTACTCAATACACTAATTTGAAGAGAGAATAAAATCCTAGTATATAGATGGAAAGTCATATATATATATATATATATATATATATATATATATTCAAAGAAATAATCACACATAGAATCAATCTGAAATATTAATGCGATTATTGACGACATCCATCGCTAGTAGTATAATGTATGCATTAAAATATTGTTAATCCATAGAGTGAACTGATCCTCGCATATATGCTTAGTTCATAACATATTAACTGAATACACTTGTAAAAATAGAATACGTGGATTTAACACATCACAAGAAATATCTAAATAAAATTCTCACTTAAAATTTTGAAAAACTCAGCGTTGCGTCTGTGCACGTTCCGAGATCGTACACAACCGTCAATAATGGCAGATATTCAAAAAACATCTTTCGGTCGACAAACAATTATTTCGTCTTCAAGTTTTTGATTTTATAAGGAAAAAAACAACATATGCCTGATGATGAATAGAAGACTATTCGTAAGTACTAGCATTTTAAGAACACATAAACTGGAAACAACAGACATCAATTTTATAGACGAGGATCACTTCAATCTATGGATTAACAGTATTTTAATGCATGCATTATACAACTAGCGATGGATGTCGCCAATAATCGCATTAATATTTCTGATTGATTCTATGTGTGATTATTTCTTTGAATGTAAATTATATGTTGCCTAATGTTATATATATATATATATATATATATATATATATATATATATATATATATATATATAAATATATATATACCCAGAAACTACCTACATTTGGTTTCACTAAATCGATCTTCAGGGCTCTCTGAAGATTTATTTAGTGAAACCTAGGTAGGTAATTTCTGGCTCTGAAGGGTTGACATATATATATATATATATATATATACTCGACTCTCCCGTCAAATTCGACGTATGAGTCTCAAACAGATCAGTTCTTAGGAAACCGACAGCCCGACAACAGCACATGAGATTTGATTATAGTGGTGAAGGTTTCATGCAGCACCATCCACACTTTTTGAAGGGGCGAATTCTGCACTAAGTGCCACAAGGTCCCCAAACGACCCTCTGCAGTTGTCCTTCTCCTTGACCAGTTGCCATCCAAGGCTATAGAACCCAGTCTGTCCTGCTATTTACCCATAGCTGGAGGGAGAAGAAGAGGATTCACACCTATCCCAAGTGTATTAGCATGTAAGTGAATGTAATGGATTCGAGTGGAATTCGACCTCGGCTCTCTCTCTCTCTCTCTCTCTCTCTCTATATCTATATATATATATATATATATATATATATATATATATATAGATAGATAGATAGATAGATAGATAGATAATATTAGTGGTAAATATACACATACATATGCAATCATATATCTAAAATATATAAATATATATACATACATACGTACACATACATATGTATTTGTATAAAAAATAAACCAAGAGGATAGAATTAATTATATTTATTAATATTTATTTTTAGATAAACACACAGTGACTGAGGGAACTCGATTCGATTTACCGAAGTGTCATGCTGATTACATACACATACACACACACACACACACACACACACACACACATATATATATATATATATATATATATATATATATATATATAATCAAGAACACCAAACCTCAAGCTACTACGCTACCCAAGCAGGTAGATTGAATGGATTCATTCTTCCAGCCTGAGTAGACCTAGCGGTTGAAACCGAGTTTTGGTATTCCTGATTACATTTTGCTCTAAGACTCAAATTTTGGGGAATTTAATTTTGTATTGAGCGCTTTTTAGATTGCACGGTTGTTTACAGCCCCTTTTTACAATATACTATCTTACATTTCATATGGTATATATATATATATATATATATATATATATATATATATATATATAAACAGAATATTCAATTGGAACGCTGTTTCAATTAAATACAGGTTATAGCTAAATTTATAGAATACAGTATGCTCAAGATAAGGCCACATTTTGTTGATCATTCATGTTTCTTGACCGAGGACTGCTTTCGTCTACTCTGGATGTTAATAGTGTCTCCACTGGACACTCTCGCCATTTTCAACGTATAAGGGTTCAGCATTTCGGTTCATCGAACCGACCAGACTACTCGTAACTTGAAGAGTCGAATACAAAGAACTAGTGCATATAGACAACCCTCAAGTTTGGAATTCCCAATTATCCTACCAATTCTGTTCCGCTATTTACCGAGAGCTGGGGAAGAAAAGACGTGGATTCATACATTTCCCAAGGGTATTTAAATGTAACAACCCCGACTAAAATTTGAACTCACCTTTCCGATTCCTCAGTCTGAGCCGCTATCCATTACACCACCGCGCCTCTTATGGTACGTTTCGGTGTCGCCTATTTGGCATCACTAATTCGGCGTAGCTGATTCGGCGTCAGAAAAATAATTGTACGATTCGGCACAGCCGTTCAGGCGTCAGACTGTTCCGACGTCACAGTGTTTGACCGGGGGCAACCTCCCCCAACCCCGAAAAAATGATAAAAGCATTGAAAACACCCAACTGTCTATATGACTTTCTATATGACTTTTTATTCATTTGTGGACTTAAGGTCACCATTATAACACTAAATGAATAATATAAATTAAAAACATAAATTGAAAATATTGTACTTCAAAAGAATTTTTAAAAATTAGCTGCACTGAAGGAAATATAATATAAAAATGCCTCCAACTGCACTTTTTCTTAAATTGGACTATTTGAGCATATAATGACGAAGTACTAATTTGAATACTAAACGAGAGAGAGAGAGAGAGTAAATTTGACTATAACGGCGAAGAAGTAATCTGACTTCTCATCGTTCCTTTGCTGAAAAATTTCTATATTGAATCGGCTAAGTTCTCATTCCTATATATCATACGGGGGAGAAAATGGAATTGGTTTCCTTTTAAGTGTCTGACAATGGGTTCTACCAAAACAAAAACAAATTATATTATGGCGATTTTCTAAACTTAGTTTAGATATGGAACAAGGCCATAAGATCCAGTGAGGCTCGAACTTACTACTCAGTAGTAATTGTTCTAGCGAGACTAGCTTGGTAATCATTAAGATATTCCTGTTAAAATACAGAAAATGTGGCACAAGGCTTAAAAAAGGGGATGGAGAAAAGGACAGTCTTGATCGCTCTTAACTTTAAACTTAGCTAGCCACAAACACTGAATCAAATATACAAACAATATTCCTAACACCAAAACAACACACTCTTATTAACATTTCTTACTACATTCACCATAATACCTCATTGTCTCTATGAAAAAAATAAATAGTCCCCTTATGTACAATTCTTTGTCTGTCGGGGGAGAGAGGAATAAAAATAACAAATTAAAAAATCCCCAATGTGTATATAGAATATGAATATAATCTATTTACACGAAACTAAACAAAGTAATGTTCGTAATAACCCCCCCATCCTTAAATGTGGCAGAAACATCAGTTAACTGGACGAAATCAATGCGAGACTATAAAAAATATATGAAAAAAAAAACATTCATTCATCCCTAGCACTCACATAGACACGCACTCATTCAGACACGACAAAAATCGAAAAACACACAGGCGAAAATCGAAAAGTGCCCCGCATCCACCAGAGAATTGACATCACCGACCAACTAACCGGGGGGGGGTGAATTAAAAAAAATAATGACAAAACTAAAAGGGGCTAATAAGCAAACACTCCCTAGCTACTGGAAAAAAAAAACTAAAACTAAACATTACACCACGTCGGAGTATCGAAAACAGATTATATTTGTCTATATTTCTGAGATGAGGTATTATGAACACTATTTACATTATTCGGACTATTGTCTTCATCTTTGTCGCCATATTTATTACACCGTTTCGGCCGTTGTACGCTCCGGCCTTCCTCAGGTGGTTGGAATGTCGAACTGAATCCATTATTTCGCATGGCACGTGGAACTAGAACAGTCTACTCCAGAGGGAAACAAAGGGTTCAGTTCCACATTCCAACCACCTGAAGAAGGCCGGAGCGTACAACGGCTGAAACGTTGTAATAAATATGGCGACAAAGATGATGACGATAGTCCGAATAATGTAAATACTGTACAGATTATATTATGCGCTTGATTTACTCCTTATCGCATAACATTACAATATATCAAGATTTACCCCTTATCGCATAACATTACAATATATAGACGCATGCGTATTCGTTTATAGCATCTTTCTTTTTATAACGCTTCTGTCTCTCTCATTATATTTGAAAACCTTGGGAACTTTATAAGCAAGATATGAGCATCTCTTTTAGGACATGTATTCGGGTTTTTTTTGGGGGGGGTCTGAATCTTCTAGCATCGAAACTTGCAGTGAAAATATCAATCAGTTAATGTAGAGCGACTGTTTCAGGACATGGAAAAATGTTTGGCAAGAGTGTGGAGTTCGTTGTATCTTTTGCGAAACTTCTACTCTGATGTGAAGATGTTCTTGTTTATTATTAATTCACCAGTTTTGTCGTCAGTGTTTCGCATTTGTGTAATTAGTGCTTCTCTGTTGTGTACAAGAAATTTGTTGAATTATTAGTAAAGGAAAGGAAGAAAGATGAAAGGGTAATTGAAAAAGAAAGTCAAAAAAGAAAGTAAAAGGCCGTCATGCAAAAGAAAAGAAAAATGATTAAGAAATTGTGAAAAAAAAGAGAAAAGGACCAAAAACGTCGCAAAATCAAAGAAAGGAAAGAAAAAAGAGAAAAAGTTGGGAAAGAAAGAAACTAAAATCTTGCATAGTCAAAGAAAGAAAGAAAGAAGAAAGAAAGAAAGAAAGAAATTAAAATCTTGCATAGTAAAAGAAAGAAAGAAAGAAGAAAGAAAGAAAAAAGAAAGAAAAACCTTACATAGTCAAAGAAAGGAAGGAAGAAAGAAACTAAAATCTTGCATAGTCAAAGAAAGAAAGAAAGAAAGAAAGAAAGAAAGAAAGAAAGAAAGAAAGAAAGAAGAAAGAAAGAAAAAAAAAAAAACCTTACATAGTCAAAGAAAGGAAAAGAAAGAAATTAAAATCTTGCATAGTCAAAGAAAGAAAGAAAGAAAGAAAGAAAGAAAGAAAGAAAGAAAGAAAGAAAAATTAAAAATAGTAAAGAAAAAGAAAGAAAGTCAAAGAAAGAAAGAAAAAAGAAAGAAAAACATAGTCAAAGAAAGGAAGGAAGAAAGAAACTAAAATCTTGCATAGTCAAAGAAAGAAAGAAAGAAAGAAAGAAAGAAAGAAAGAAAGAAAAAGAAAAAAAAATTAAAATCTTTAGTAAAAGAAAAAAGAAAGAAAGAAAAAGAAAGAAAGAAAGAAAGAAAAAGGGAAAGAAAAAACTAAAACATAGTCAAAGAAAGAATGAAGAAGGAAATAAAGAAAGAGAAACTAAAATCTTAATAAAAGAAAGAAAGAAATGGAAATTAGATAAAGAAAGAAAGTGGGACATGAAAAAAGAAAGAAAAGAAAGAAAGAAAGAAAGAAAGAAAGAAAGAAAAAGAAAGAAAAAAGAAAGAAAAACAAAACGTCTACATGACGAAAGTCAAAATCGAAAGGAAAGAAAGAAAGAAAAACTAAAATGTTCATAATCAAGGAACGAAAGCAAGAAATGTGGAAAATTAAACATAAAAAAAGGAAGCATGCGTGGGAAGCAAAGAAAGAAAAGAAAGAAAGAAAGAAAGAAAGAAAGAAAGAAAGAAAGAAAGAAATTAAAATCTTGCATAGTAAAAGAAAGTAAAAGAAAGAAAAAGAAAGATAGTCAAAAGAAAGGAAGGAAGAAAGAAACTAAAAAAAGTCAAAGAAAGAAAAAAGAAAGAAAGAAAGAAAGAAAGAAATTAAAATCTTGCATAGTAAAAGAAAGAAAGAAAGAAGAAAGAAAGAAAGAAAGAAAAAAGAAAGAAAAACCTTACATAGTCAAAGAAAGGAAGGGAGAAAGAAAGAAACTAAAACCTTGCATAGTCAAATAAAGAAAGAATGAAGAATTGGGAAATAAAGAAAGAGAAAAATAAAGAAACTAAAATGTTACATAATAAAAGAAAGAAAGAAATGTGGAAATTAGATAAAGAAAGAAAGAATGAATGGGACATGAAAGAAAGAAAGAAAGAAAGAAAGAAAGAAAGAAAGAAAGAAAGAAAGAAAGAAAGAAAGAAAGAAAGAAAGAAAGAAAGAAAAAGAAAGAAAAGGACAAAACGTCTTAGTGACGAAAGAAACCAAAGATCGACATGAGTAGAAAGAAAGAAAGAAAGAAAGAACTAAAATGTTGCATAATCAAGGAACGAAAGCAAGAAATGTGGAAAATTAAACATAAAAAGGAAGAATGAGTGGGACATTGGGCAAAGAAAGAAAGAAAGAAAGAAAGAAAGAAAGAAAGAAAGAAATAAAGAAAGAAAGAAAGAAAGAAAGATGAATTACAAATTGTAAAAAAAAGAGAGAGAATCTAAAATGTCGCAAGGTTAGACAAACGAAAGAAAGAAGTGTAGAGAATTGGACAAAGAAAGAAAGAATTCAAAGCAGAAAAACAAAATTCTTTTTAAGGAAAGAAAATAAGGAATAGAACAACAAATCAAATCAAAGACTTTAAGTAAAAAAATAAATAAATAAACAGAAATAATTTCAAAAAGAAAGAAAAACTAAATGAAAAATCATTGTCACATTCTTGTGCTCGTAAAATTCATGATACCCGCAAGGTATTAAACTTTTAATAAATGAATATGGTGCTGGATTTTTTATCGATTTCTTTTTTAACATCTCAATGTATTTGTTAGTATGGGAACTAATCGATAAAATGCCTTTTTGGTTGAAATACGAGTAGTTACGTATTTCCAATTGAAGCCAGTGATCAGTTTTCTCGCCCGGGTACAAATCCAGTATTTTGAATGCTGATATTTCACGACAGGATGGAAAACCCTTCCCAATTTAATCCTTTTCGTAACATTATTTTTATTCTCGAACCTGACCCTGTGTCGTATTAGAGTTAAATAAATATCGATAAGTTATTATTTTTATTTTTAATATCGATTCATTTGGATGATTTAACAAAAGGATCATTGGCAAAAATGTACATTTGTTAAAAAAAAAACAAAAAAAACGGAACGTCAAAAAAACGGTTTTTCCCTTGACATCGCTATTATTTTAACTATCTACACTCTTCGGCAATGTTTATTGTTTTAAAAAGCAATGATTAGAATGAGAGTAAATTTATGCATTTTCTTTGTTCTCAAAAATTGTCAACAAAAATAATAAACATTATTTATTTATTAGATTGTTTATTTACAAAAACAATTTTATATTTACAACATTATAAAAACTAATACAATTAAAATTAATGTAATGTAATATTTATCATTTACTAATTTATAAAGAAATAAATATGGGGACAAATTTTTATTCATAAATTTACATTTACTAAATTGTTAAAATATGTGAACTGTAAGGAAATCATTATTATTGACGATAAAGTTCGAATTGATTGGCAATTAGACAATGTTTTGCCAACCAAATAAAAAAATAGTTTAAATAAACAATCTAACAAATAAATAGTGTTTATTATTTTTGTTGTCAATTTTCAAAAATAAAGAAAATGTATAAATTAATTTTCAAATGCTTACGTTTTATCACCATTCTAATAACCGCTTTTTAAAACAATAAGCATGGCCGAGATGTGAAGGTAACTAAATTAATAATGGTTTCAATGGAAAAACCGTCCTTTTGAAACTCCGTTTATTGCAGAAACGAAGGTCTAAGTTTGTTGGATCGTCAACCATTTGCAATTCCAGTTGTACCAAATTATTCTCACTTTTTTTTCTGTTTAGTTTGTGATGTTTTGGAAATATTGTCATTGTATGTCGGGTAGATATGGAGGACTTTTAGCCAATGATTAAAACATGGCCGGTGTATCGTTCTGTTTACTGGATGTAAAAAATATCGAACTGGTGTGATTTACGGAATAATAATGGATGAAAGTAATTGTTTGTTTCTTTTTAAAACAACAACAAAAAATGTGATTATTATTTTTCATCTTTGCGTGGCGAAAAATTAAATTCAAATAAAATGCAACTGATCAAACAGCAGGACAATTGGAAATTGAAAATTTAAAATTATTAAAAGAAAATTATAGATGAGTGTATTAATATTTTTTTTTATTTTAATTATTTTTTTAATAATTATTTATATAGTCAATTTTTTCTTTCTTTTTTTCAGCAAGGGTATCTGAAATTCATAAAAAAAATATTTTGGAGAAAATACCTAATTTGCTGTCTTCTTTGATTTTATTAAACGCTTTCTGATAACCTTGAATTAAAGAAAGAGAGAAACACTCTAATACGAAAACTCGGACTGACAAACAAGATAATAAACGATACAAAATCGTATAAGATTTTGTGGTCAAGGTTTTAGTATGATTTACTTTGACGTTTAAATTTTCCATTTTTCTAAGATAAAGCAAAAATAAAATCAAAAGAAAAAAATGATAATAAAAAAAACACTTGAAGCAGTGTAGATAAATCTTTTCATTGTGCCAGTCTCGTGTTCAATTCTTGTCTTTTTAAATAACGAGTCACGAAAAAAAGACAATCTTAGAAAAATGCTTTCAATTTTACCAAATCATACACGAAAGAAAAATGAATAAATAAAAATCGTAGTTACAATAAGAACAGCTAACTGAAGACAAGATAAAACAATGTTTATTCACAGCTACTAAACCCCAGTTTTCCACAATATGGATCGCAATTCATACCAAAACAATTTATATACACGCATGCAAACCATTTCTTGTTTTGTTATTAACAATAAAACAGAAAAAATAATTACATTCTTTGTTCGATTGTTCTTTTTATAGCGACTGCGCATGCTCGTGACTATGCAACTGCAAATAGATTTCCAAAGGAGGGATGAAAAGTTCTCGGCCCGACTAAGTAGGAAAACACAAGAAAATTCTGATATTTAGTAATTTGATTTTCTGATGGGATTCAAGTCGATAACTTTTCAGCATCTCTTGTATTCTATGTCATTATCATTTACGTGAATGGATGGATGTCACTGCACAGCAAAGCACGTAACCAGTTCCTTCTGTATATATGCAAATGTCTGAGTCTCTGTGAATAATCATACAGTCCACAATCATTTTATAAAACCATTTTTTCCTCTGTCGACCTCTCCTACTTTTGCTTAAGGTAGGACCCTGTAATATGGCAGTGGAAAGAACTGTTGGCTTCTATGGGGTGTTATTTGTTTTATGGGGTTTTACAGTGATTTTCGCCCTGCACAATGTCCTGGATCCATTCGGGATAGAGGGTTACAAAGTGAGAGATACAGTTTATAAACGGACTTGAACAAATTAAAATCGTAGTAACCAGGAAAGGATCTTCTTAGAAGTCGCTTCCACAAGTCGGTTCGCGGGTAGAAGCTGTTCGAGTGGAACTTACACCTCACCACTGCATTACAAAAGGGACTTCTAAGGGTGGTCCGCTATAATGAACGTTTCATGGCTGGGTCATAGCCGTGATGGTTAGAACTGGAGGAACCACGAAATGTATTTCATTTGAACATTTCCGACAGAAATAGCGATAGAAAGGCTTGAGACGTTTCGTCTTTGAGGAAAGGGGTTGTAGGGTGGGAATAATTTGTTACCCGGAGACGCTTTTGGATTCTGTCGAGGTTGCAAAGTGAAAACTTGGCTGCGCCTGTCCGTATATAGCAACAGTACTGTATTTTAGAGATTATTTGGTTCTTGTAAAGGTAGAAGATAGCAGGAAAAGTCAGGTACTTACTGGAGTGCTTCAGGGAATCGGCCATTTTTTCAGTAGCTTTAGCGATGGTTCGTATGCACGAGTTCCATTTGAGATCTGGTTTAAGTCCCAAAACAACTTTACATAACTACATACACCCCCCATATATATATATATATATATATATATATATATATATATATATATACAAACATACACACACACACACATATATATATATATATATATATATATATATATATATATAAACAAACACACACACACACACACACACACACACACACATATATATATATATGGCTATTTTTGTAGTGATTTTATAACATACTTATGTTATAATTTTTTTATAAAAATAAATATAAATATATATATATATATATATATATATAATGAAATGGACAAACTCTGACAATTATTTTACCACAGACATTTTTATGCTTATACATTCTTTTTATAGATACAAATGTTTAAGTAAATGCTCTGTTTTTTTTTGGGTTTTTTTTTTGTTGTTTTTTTTATAATAAACAGTATTAATAACATTTACCGGCCTGAATGTTCGAGAAATTTTCATAGAAAATATTCGTTTTCCGACAGGTTCCGTATAGGATACAGGTTCGAATTCAGTTGGAGAACGAATATTTTCTATGAAAATTTCTCGGAAATTTAGGCCAATAAATGTTATTAATACTGTTTATTATAAAAAAAAAAAAACAGAGAATTTACTTAAATATTTGTATCTATAAAAAGAATAGATAAACATAAAAATGTCTTAAAACATATATATATATATATATATTCAAGCATGTTTGGTTGAATAATTTCTTAATGTTGTAATTAAACTCATTAAGGAAGGCGCCGCAGTTTTTTCCATTTCTTTTATTTTACAATCTCATCCATGATGATCCTCAGGGTACTTTCAATATCATCCAATATGATCCACAGGGGTGGAATTTTACAGTTATAACACCAATGCTTTGAAATAATTAAATTGTAGTTTTTAAAACAAATTACAAATATAAAATTAATGACGTCCCTTAGAAAACGTTAATTTTTGAATAGATAGATAGATAGATAGATAGATAGATAGATAGATAGATAGATGTAAACATATTGATATATCTAACTATTGTAAAGGTAGAAGATAGCAGGAGGAGTCAGGTACTTACTGGAGCTGTACAGAGAACCGACCATTTTTCCAGCGTCTTTAGCAATGATTCGTATATACGAGCCGCATTCGGTTGAGTTTCAGTAGATATCTCGTTTTTATATCATTACCTACACCCTTGTGCAAATTAATTGAAACAAAACGAATAATTCCGTTGTTATTTCTTTTTCCCCTATTTTTCCAATAAAACATGACCCAGTGCACATGTTAGTACTTCGTATGTCCATTCCACGAAGTCGTTCCTTGCAGATTAACCTCAGATTCTCGATTGGATTTAAATCAGGAGAGTTTCCAGGACAGTCGATAGAATTTGATTTGCTCACTGGTAAGGCTTACCATTGTGTTCGTGCGGCGTTACAATTTTCGTACGCTTACTTCGAGTAACGTTCATTACAGACAATGCCCGTATAACAACTAATCGACAGTCGAGAAAATAGTGTCTGGGCAGGATGAAAATCTGATGCAATCACAGATGATGCAGTATTTTTCAAGGCCTAAAAATTAATCATACACCCGAAAACAGATTCATATTACTGCACACTACTGCAAATGACCTAATCTGAGGAAAAAACTGAAATCCATTACACCCTGTCACTCCAGTGGGTCTAAAACCTACCGTATGGTGAAAGAAAGTAGACTAAAGCGGCTGTTTCAATTAATTTGCACAAGCGTGTATATATTCGTCTGTGTGTTGTATCTGTGTGTAAATGTGATTATCAATTGTGTATCTAAATATGTGTTTTAGTACGTGTAGATGTGTGAATTTATATATGTGCGTGTTTTTGTGTGCCCATGCATGTATGCGTGTGTTTTTGAACGATAGCAGTTCTGCTGAGACGATGAAACAATAGTTTCTTAGTTATACACATACATAACCTGAATTTGGATCTGAAATGTCCTCTGTATAATACTCGATCTATGTAATTAATGGAGAAGCTTTGGGTTAATTGCATTAACAAGGAAAGAGATTATGCTGAAAGTTATTTATTCGTTTATGAATTTGCTTCTTTTCATAAGTATGTGTATACGCCTGCGTGTGTACGTCATATGCGTCTGTGTGTGTTTTCGTGAGTATGTACGTGTGCTTGTGCGAACGAATGCGCGCATTTATGTCTGTGTACGATTTTGGCTGTATGTGTGTTTGTACATTGTGTGTGTCTGTGTACGTTTATGCGTGTCTGTGTACGCTTCTGTAAACCTGTTAGTTTCTATGCGAATTAATGTTGATGAACATTTGCGTATGTGCATTTATGTGCTTTTGCATGTATATGCTTGTATGCAAGCCTGTATGTTTCTGTATGTCTGTTTGAATGTCCAGACCTGTTTGCGAAGATGATGTGACAATGTGGAAAATTTTATAAATTCTCTTTAGCACCTCCAGTTTAAATTGAAAGAAAGACAAAACTGTGAATGGGGACAAGAAAGCATACGCTTTCTCCGGCGAAACGCGTCTTTTATAAAATTTTCCACTTTGTTTTAGCATCTTCACTTTTGTTTCGGATACTATTATACATCCTACAAACACACACACACACACACACATATACACAACGTAGATAGATAAAAACTTATATATTATTTTAAACTGAGGAATCCAAAGAGAGCATACGTTATCACCGGCGAAACGCGTCTTTAAGAAAATTTTCCAGTTTCTTCCATCATCTTCACTTTTGTTTCGGATACTATTATAGATCCAACAAAAACACACACACAGACATGTTTATAATAAAATCATTTTGTGTGGATTGCAAAAAAAATAGTCGCTTTTATTATGCAACATAATTTATATTTATCATCTGGGTTTATCATCTAAGAACATCTTATTAAAAATGTTTCATCCTTCCGTGAGTATATGTTCTCAGTTTTAATCGGATCAGATTTTGATTATCAATTAAGTCTTCAATAAAATTTATATTAAAACAAGACAACCATCCTTATGCAAACAAAAGGATAGGCTGGTAGGACTTAAAATAATCTTTCGATAGTTATACCCGTGTCAATATATAATTGCTACGTGTGTATTTTTTTCCACAAGTTACCCTTTGTGTAGTCGGTGTGTACAATAAGTTAATTTCCTAGAAACTATACAATAAAATAGACACACTTTAACGAGGGATACCTATCTAGCGCCACAGAGATCATGATAATCCCTCAAGCCATCGTTAGAGAGTTCGATTTTTGCTTAACTTACTAAAAGGCCGCTACAGGCTCGATGTCAAATTCCCCACAGACAAAACGTTCATAGCCTTTCACTACTCTATTTGCTATGGTAAATGTTCAAATGAGCTAAAATTCTAAGCTCCACAAGTTCAGCCTTTTACATGTTTACAGTTTCAAACCAGCAATATTACGTACACGGCGTCAATTCATTCCCTTACTTTACTAGGAACGAACTTCCACTCAATCAACTTCTTCTCCAGAGTTGTCGCACTGTGGAACAGACTCCCGAGAGGATGCTTCCTTAACTACTGAGACCTTAACCTCTTCAAGTCTAGCGTCATCTATCCTATGCATCATCATATGTACCTCTTGATCCCTAAATGTACACTCATTTTTGCAACATTCTACATTGAGTGACCCTTGAGCCTTGTATTGGGTGATTAACAATAAAACAAAAAAATTATAATTTATTTTTACTTCAGACATATGGTCTAAAGTTTGTATATTTATGGAGGAAGACTATTTAATGTTGAGTCAGAGCATATGTATAAGTAGATATATGTAGCGTTGTTTGTTTTTTTTTTTGTTGTTTTTTTGGGGTTTTTTTTCAAAACATTTCATTCCAGGCAAGGCGGGAGTGTCACTAGCACGCAACGGGTTACAGAGATTGAGAGCAAGAGTAAAGAGGGTTGTTTGAGGAAAGGATATAGAGAAGGTGTGGGGAACAAGATCAAGGCATCAGAAGATGTCTATTGACATTACATTTGAATATTTAAATATTATAGCTATCAGGGAAGCGAGTAAGTGAAAGGGAGTTCCACAGACGGGAAGTGCGAGATAAGAAGCTGTTGGAATAGAAGACATCGCTACATTTAACCGTTTCGACAGTAAAAGGGTGGGACCGATATATCAACCTAGTAGCACGCTTAAATTCATGCTGTTTGGCAACTAGTGAGAGTATTTCGTCGGAGCAGTTGCCCTGAAAATACTTATAGAAAAGACAGAGGGAAACCACAACACATCTGTGAGAAAGTGACTGTAGACCAGATGCCAGATCAGGACCCATCACATTGCATATCCGTCTCTGGATTTTTCCGAGGACCTTGAGACGAATAGCGGGGGCACCAGACCATATATGGCAGCAGTATTCCATGCAAGGACGAATGGTTGATTTGTAGATTTGATCTACCATAGTTTGATAATCGCCTAAGGCATAAAACTGCTACTCCCTATCTATGCTGACTAGCAGACTGAATCAGTAGTTATTAGTATTTTAACTATTTCGTCCCAAGACGATAATGCCATTAAGACGGAAGGAAGTGAAAAAGAATGAGAAAACTCAAGATAGATGATAGCGATTAATGTTGTATTTAGATTTTTGAAGATCGTAGGTGGCAGGGAAGCAAGAAATCGAAAGAAGTACAAGGGAAGAAACTATTAGAATAGAACTTACGGTTACCTGCAGCTTTTTGAACAATAAAACGGTAAAATTTCATTGTCAATCTAGTACTATACTTAGATTTATACTGTCATGGTACAATACATGAAAGTTTATTAAAACAACTGCCATAAAAATGTTTACAGAAAAGTCATAGATAAGCGACGTCTCAGCGTGGGAAAGTGAATGAAGTCGTGATGTTAAATAATAGTTTAACAGACTATTATCCTTTGGCGAAAGTGTATCTTGGCTCCGACTTCCGGAGATTGACTTTCGAGGTCAAATGGAAGCCATAATAAGGGAGTCAATTTCGATTGGCTGAGCTAGCGTGAGAATGACAGAGAAAAGTTTTTCAGGGAGTTCGTTCTTACACGTCAAGCAATGTAGACGTGTTCACTTTCGTGTCTGGAACGGCTCCGCGGTGGTGGGGGAACGACCCCACTGGATAGTTAGAAAATCTACACGTCGCCGTGAATAATAAAAATAGATAAATCAAAATTCTCTGTGTTGGAATCTTGATTGCTGAATCATAAATGATTGGCGAACGCTTGCCATGAGAAGACGAGATGAGATCACTCCCAACAAGGGGCTATGCCAGGTCAGGATTGATAACACTACAGACTCTTTGGATTTTGTAGAGAATCTCGAGATATATAGCAGGGCCACCAAACGAAATATGGTAGCAATATTCAATGCGTGGACAAATGGTAGGCTGAAAAATGTGAAAGATGTTCTGGCGAGAAGTGTACAGCACGATTTGGTGAACTAGCATTCCTAGCAGCAGACCTGGTAATTGATTCGATGTCAGTGGAAAACGAGATACTAAGAAAGTATAATGAGTTCCTCTCCAGGTAATTAGTATCTGCCATACTGATGAAAGTAAAAATATTTCTCTATGATGAATAAGAAGTAGCAGTTTCATTTAAGAGGCGTTAAAATTTACAGGACATTATTTGCCCGAGGAAACAATTGATTGGAAGTCTTTTTCGAGAGCAGACACCAGTTTTATTTTATCGAATCTACTGAAGGCACGGTGGGGTAATGGATAGCGGCTCGGATTGAAGAGTCGGAGAGCCGAGTTCGAATTCCAGTCGAATCCTTTACATTCACTTACGGTATGAATCCTCTTCTTCTCCACCCAATGGGTAAATAGCAGGACTGACCTTGAGAAGGACGACCCTGAATTCAAAACCTGATCCTCAAGGTTGTGGGTCGCGCAGTAGGCTAACAACATATTCACTTAAAAACTGGCTTGTTGAAACCACCCTATGTTCCCCAAAGAATTTAAAGGCATAATATATATAATAATAATGGACTTTCCCTAGTAATTTACAAAGGATGCCACA